TCATATTTTTCATTTTAATGAAATTTTAAAGTGGCCCAAACGAGGGTTAGGTCTTGCGGGTTGGGATGGATTGGTAAAGGTGGTGTTGAGTTAAATTAATTTAATTTTATAATATTGAAGAGTTTAAATTGTCTAATTTTTGAACAAAAAACTTTCAAGTTTCAAATCTGATTTTTGAATTATGAATTTAAAAACTCAGGATAGGTGTAATTTTCACTAAGGGTCCGTTTGATTGGAATGGTGAAAAATGGGTGGAAAGAAAATGAATTCTAGGGAAAATAATTGTCTAGAAATTATTTTTCAGGGAATTGAAAATTAAGTGTGTTTGATTGGTATAATTTTCCACCCGAAATTTTTTTTAATTTTGTGTTTGTTTGACTTTATTTTTAACATGAAAATTGTCCATGAAAGTGATAATTTTTTCCACAATTGGTTATAAAATTTGTTTCCATTGCCAAAAAGTATACTAAAAAAATCATTTTTTTCATCAAAATTTAGTGTTCGTTTGACTTTGTTTTACATGGAAATTGTCCATTAAAGTGAAATTTTTTTTTATAATTGGTTATGATATTTGTTTCCATTACCAAAAAAAAAAAAAAAAAANTTGTTTCAATTGCCAAAAAGTAAAAAAAAAAAAAAAAGGGAAAAAAAATGGTTTCCTAAAAAATCATTTTTTTATCAAAATTTAGTGTTCGTTTGGCTTTGTTTTACATGAAAATTGTCAATTAAAGTGATTTTTTTTTACAATTGATTATGAAATTTGTTTCCATTCAAAAAAATAAAAATAAATAATAAAAACAAAAATAAAAATAAAAAACAGCAATATGAAATTCATTTTCCCACCAAAAAGGTAGGAAAACCAATCCCAACAAATCATGGAATTGGCACACGTGTGAGAGAATTGTGGAAAAATTTTCTAGGGAAAATTTGTACCATCAAACATGCCAAAAGATGGAAAATAGAATTTGAATTCCATTTTTCATGGAAAATATCCCCTATCAAACACATCCTAAATAAAAATTAGACGAATGGAATATTAAAGACTCATTTGGTTTGCATTTTTGTTTTGAGTCTGAGTTTATTTACATTTTCTATTTTAAAAGAAAACTGTTGTTTACATTCACCATTCTTATATATTCATCCACTTTTAAAAAGAAAATTATATTACATTTTTAACCTTACTTAAATATACAAGAATAAATCAAATAAAAATCTGTCACTCTAAATTCATTCATTGATATTTATTTTCATTAAATTCTGTAAGGATATAAGCCACAATAACACGCGGAAGCAGTAGAATATTCACCAAGAACAAACTAATACACACAAAATATTATCGATCTTATTTGGGGCTCAGAATTCACAAAGAATACATTGTACCCGTCTGTTCACAAAGAACAAGCCAACAAAACCCAAACC